CGGTTTTATTTCCCTCCACATTGAGAATCACCACGCGTTTAGAGCATTTGGCTGCTATAAATGTCCACGTGATGATGGGCCACTTCGTTAAACTATCATTTGCGGCCAGGTCGCTTCTGAAAAAGAGCTACATAGCTCAGTGGGCCTTACCTGGTACAAAAAAAACATTGTTTAGTTGATATATGGGTCCTAGCTCGACGCTAAGCGATGTAATAGATCATAGAGAATCATCGTTAAGAGTCATTGGTGATTGGAGTCATCGACCAGGAGTTCAACTCGGGTGAATGGGACATTTTACGTCCGTGTGAACAACTGTGACACAAATACACCAAATACAAAGATCAACCTACAGCCTTTAAACAGACTGTTGGGGCAAGTGCTGTTAGCGAGCACGAGGGAGTGAGTTTGATTGGCCATCAGAACGGCCCGCCGCCTTTGTCTCCCCAAACAATGATATTTACACACGACACACCAGGCGCTCGTGTACGGCTGAGTCGACCTGGGGGGAGGGGGGGGGGCAAGGAACAGTTCTAATATCACTCGCCACTGATGTTGGCACTTGCCGGGAATCGAACCGAGATTGCCGGGTTCGTGGTGCATCCGCTCCTCACTGTGGTTCCCGCTCATCAACACACACAGACACGTACACACGTACATACCGACACGTGCATATCACCATAGCGAGCAGCACCCATTTATTATGTATGGACGCACGTACGCAAACCCGCCATTCGCCACTAAGTGACAGTGATAACGTCGCCAGGGCGCTTGTCACCAGGCTACGTGCACCTTGAGGCCACGTGAAGTGTGGAGGGCTCTCCGCTGCCTGGAGGTTGACTGACCGAGATGACCGGCAGATGCACCAGCTCTGCTCATCACGGTGCCAACTTGCCGCGTTTTACCCGACCGCAGCCGCGCTCGTTGTTGTGAACGCCGCTCCTCCGCCCTCTGTTACAGACAAAAATACTAACTTAACTATTTTTTTTTATCTTACCAGGTGAGGAGACACTGAGCTACATAGCTCTTTTTTCAGAAGTGACCTGGCCACCGATGATATCTCGACGAAGTGGCTTATCATGGGGACATCTAAAGTAGCCAAAATACTCTAAACGCATGCTTCTAAAAGTGGAGGGAAATCCCGGAGGATCCGGAGATAAATCCAAGCGACCACGGGGAGAGAGACACGCAAACTCTAAATATACAATCGGCTTCAGGGTCGGGATCGAACCCACCTCGTTAACTACCTCGCCATCGCGGCGCCTTCTGCGCACTCCTGCTCGACACGAGGGTTGTGGCCCCCCGCCAACGGAACGTGGAATTTCCACGTTCCGTTGGCAGGGGGTTCCAGTTTATCCTTAAACGACCGTGTGCGCTGGCCATTGTTTTGTGAGGCGGCGATGATAAGGCCCTCCCCACCCGCCAGCCCCCTCTTTTGCACCACCCCCACCACGACTTTGGGTCGAGTCCGAGATGCGAGCTCCCATCTCACACTCTGCGGGCGCCACCTCGTGACCGAGTGAGGGTGCATCATCCTAACCGCCCAATCAGATTCTCTACGCTCACGTTGTTATATTGTTTCGTCATCAGCCACGGTCAATCCACTGATGGATGAATGCCTCCCCAAGCCATCACCGCCATCGTCATCATCAGCCATGGTCAATCTGCTGCTGGATGAAGGCCTCATCTCTCACGTTCCTGCGAGATGCAACAATTCCATCCACCACCGCCTGCGCGCACGGGATGATCACATTATCGCTCCATCTTCATCGAGGGACGCCCCTCTGTCGAACGCGTTCCCATTGCTGGGATGCCACTCCCGTAGTTCATCTTCGTCATCGGCCACGGCCCTCGTCTAGCCGTGACGGATCCAGCCCCAAGACTGCCTAAGTTTCGTAACAGTTTCAATGTTGTCGTTGGCCTGTGAACTTTGCGCATTTTTTCAATGTTTTTGTTCCACTCTTGTCGTGAATTGCCACGCTGAGTTGTTGCATTGTACGCACCGTATCTGTACGCGTGTGCGCTATAGTGTGGTTAACGCATAGAGGGGGGCGTCAAGGGCACGACACGGGCTGGAGAAGAGATGGACTGATGCGGTACGGGAGGATGCCAATGGCTGGTACCAGCGGTCTTGATTTGAAGCTTTCGTGACTGCAGGGATTACTCTTTGTTTTTTTCGGTAAAGTCACGTATAAATAAGAAATAATAAAATAACATAATAGCGTACGATGTTTCGGTTGCAACACAAGCAGCCATCATCAGGTACAGAAGAGAAACATTATGGAAGTTTGGGCCGGACTGTTTGGGCGGTAGGGGAGGCGAAACAGCGGAGAGAGAGAAGCAGTAAGGACGACGTCGCGCATAATACATCCTCGCAACAACAGCAGCGGGCTTTTTGCTGGCCAGCGAACGTTCCAGACGGCCAGAGCGGTCCGCCTGGAACGCTCCTCCCTTCCGACATTAGGAAGCCGCTGGGAGCTGTGGATTGAAAACGAATTTCTTTAGAGCTTGCTTTTTTTTAGTGATGTTGTCTTTCGCCCCCACCTTCGATTAGCACGGTTGGGCCTACGTACGGTGCGAAAGAAGTTCGACATACAGTATTCGCCCCGACCAGTTTAACTCTCTGACCCGCCCCTACTGGACGTCTGTGGAAGAGAGCTTTATAGCTCATCATCATTCCGCCCTCACCCAATGCGGTATCTGTTGCATTGGTTCACTTATTTTGTGTAGATTGCTCGCATATCCGCCCGTAGCCGATTCCTCCTCAAACGGGTCCATGCGACTGGGTTACGTCAAACCCCATAGACTCACACATAGATCCACAGACTCGCATAGAGACCCACAGACTCACAAATAGACCCACACACTCACATAGAGACCCACAGACTCACAAATAGACCCACACACTCACATAGAGACCCACAGACTCACATAGAGACCCATAGACTCCCACATAGACCCACACACTCGCATAGAGACCCATAGACTCACACATAGACCCACAGACTCGCATAGAGACCCATAGACTCACACATAGACCCACAGACTCACATAGAGACCCATAGACTCACAAATAGACCCACAGACTCACATAGAGACCAAATTTTTGCTAAACCCTGTTTGTCTGGTATGCTTCTCTCTCTCTGTGTCCCCTGTTGTATCTGTGTCAGTTCCCCCTACTTGGGTGTCTGTGTATACATCTGAGGTTATGTGTCTCCCCTCTCTCATAATTTAGCTCTTCTGTACCTGATGATGGCTGCTTGTGTTGCAACCGAAACGTCGTACGCTATTATGTTATTTTATTATTTCTTATTTATACGTGACTTTACCGAAAAATACCAAAGAGTGGTACCAGCGGTGTCAAGATCGGCCTCTGTGGAGGAGGCTCGTGAAGGACGCTGCTACTGCTCAGTTGGAGGCAGTCGCCCTCCAGCAACAACGGAGGGCGGAGGAGCGACCGACGCTCACAGCAACGAGCGGAACGTTGGGCAGCCAGAACGCAGCAAGTTGGCACAGTAGGGGGGTACAGCCGAAGTGCATCTGCCATTTATCTCGGTGAGCCAACACATGGCACCTGGGTCTGTCCCGTGACCTTCGACACTTCACGCGATAGCCTCGAAGTGCACCTGGCCTGGCACAGGCGCCGTGGTGACATCACCTTCACTTGGCAGCGAGTGGCGGTCATTGGTTAGCGCACTGCACGAGTCCCGATCACGACCGACAAGTGACAGTGAATATTGGAGCCGGTCCTGGGCCTACCCCTAGGTCGACTCAGCCCTAAAATAATGACCCGTCGCTGTGTGTAAAGATCAGCACTGGTGCTGCCCACCAAATTCTTCATAGGTGCTACTCGCTAACAGCACTTGCCCCCCCCCCCGCGCCACTGCCCGTTAAAGGTTTACGGAGGGATATTTATCTTTGTTGAAATTCAGCATTCTTCTTTGTTCTGGGGCCTGTTACGTACAATTATAGGGAAATAATTTATACGAGGCGACGTCTCGGGCAATGACCCTTCCTCGTAGCAGAGAGACAATTATTATAATGGAGTAGATTTGGTAATCAAGCCATGCTTATGTAGCAGAGGACAATGACAAAGGCAGGCGCTGCTGTATCACAGGCGGATCATCTAAACTATTTTTGTATTTTTCCAGGTAAGGCCCACTTAGCTATTTTTACGAAGCGACCTGACCACAAATGACAGCTCAATCACGCCACTTATCACGTGGAAATTTATTGCAGCCAAACACTCTAAATAAATGCATGGTGACCCGGAGAAAAATGAACGCGACGACGAGAACATGTAAACTCCGAATATGCAGGTATCAGAGTCGGGATAGAAGGCACGACCTCCTGCACACAAGGGGAGGACAGTGAACATCTCGCCACCGCGGCTCCCTGCCTTCTGCTGTCAGTAGGGTGCGATGCTGCTACTGCTGCTACTGCTGCTGTGTGTAATCCCAATTGAGCAACCTGCGGGATAATTGTTCGAATTTGTCGAGAATTTGGACCGTGACGAACGGGCAATTCTGTGCCATCGCGACGGGGGGAGGGTCGCAGTATGAATAACAGCAGACGATTGAAGAAAACAATCATCAGCCACGATCAACCCACTGCTGGATGAAGCCTAACATCTAATCCCTATCGTTCAATTACACTACGGCAGTCTAAACTGCCTAGGGAGGACCCTAATGGCAGCTGCCCCTATGTGGCATAGGAGGAATCCGATAAAGCTATGAAGCTCTTCTTACACAAGATGTCCCGTACATAATCTGCCACCAGACGGGGTGAGGGGGGGGGGAGCGGGCGATGTTGCGTGGTGCTAATACAGCCAGAACGTGAAGCCTTTATTGTGATAAATAAGTCTTTGCCGTAACGTCGAAGATTTCTCTCCCACGCTGCGGACTCATCAGCAGCGCGTGGCCCGGAAGCCCTCCTCCGCCAATGGCAGCAGAGGGCTGTCAAGGTCACGCGCGTGACGTCACGCAGGCGCCCGTGACGTCACGCAGGCGACCGTGTGCCTAAACCGCGCGCCCCCATTGGCCAGGGAGGCAAGCAGAGCCCCGCCCATATCGGTGGGAGGAGGGGGGGGGTGCCCGCCAGCCAATGGAAGGGCAGCGTTGCGCCCTATGCGCTCTACGATTTGTGAAGCCGGCGGACGGAGTTCGGGAGGCCCTTGGCGTGCAGTGGAAGGAGTAAGAAGGAGGAGGCCGACGGCTCGCTCGCTCGCTCAAGAGACGCCTCGCTCGCTCAAGAGACGCTCCGACCGCACTCCTCGCGTCTCGCCCACACCCTGCCCGGGGCCCAGAAGCGCGGCCGTTCGCCTGAGGGGAAAAAGGATCGGATGGGCGCCAAGGTGACCAAGTCGTTGTGGAGGGCGGCGCGCAACGTGAACTTGGAGAGCCGCGCGATGGAGGCACTCTCCCGCGAGAAGCCGCTCGCGGCTCCGCGGCACCGCGCGGCCCCCGGGGCCGAGCTCCCCCCTCAAGGCACGTGACCTGCCCCCCCATCTCCGCCCCTGCCCCCCATCCCTGCCCCCCCGCCTCTCCTCCTGAGCGGTCACCTCGCGCGCGCGCGCCCTCCGACCCCGTGGTTTCGCGAGTTCGAATCCAACCTCCCACCGCGCTTTTATTTTGGGGGGGGTGGTAATACAAAAGATGTATATTTTTTTATATATATGTGTTAAAAAACAAAACTTGCCGCTATCGCTAAAACCTGACGGGTTACGTTTCAGCCGTCCCCGCAGCTTTTCGAAATAATGCACGACGAGTACTATGACCAGAGTGGTGAAGTATGGATAACAACAACAGCAAACACAAAACACACAGCAGCCAGCAGCACGTCGATCCACGCGTGACTGGCGTGGAGGGAGCGGGGAGGTGAGAGCCTCCATTCACCAGTTGGGTGACAATGGCCGTGGATTTGCCGGTGCTGGTGGTGATTTAAAGGACCTGAAACATTTTGGAAGTTTGGGCCGGACTGTTTGGACGGTAGGGGAGGCGAAACAGCGGAGAGAGAGAAGCAGTAAGGGCGACGTCGCGCATAATACATCCTCGCAGCAACAGCAGCGGGCTTTTGGCTGGCCAGCGAACGTTCCAGACGGCCAGAGCGGTCCGCCTGGAACGCTCCTCCCTTCCGACATTAGGAAGCCGCTGGGAGCTGTGGATTGAAAACTAATTTCTTTAGAGCTTGCTTGTTTTTTAGTGATGTTGTCTTTCGCCCCCACCTCCGATTAGCACGGTTGGGCCTATGTACGGTGCGAAAGAAGTTCGACATACAGTATTCGCCCCGACCAGTTTAACTCTCTGATCCGCCCCTACTGGACGTCTGTGGAAGAGAGCTTTATAGCTCATCATGATTCCGCCCTCACCCAATGCGGTATCAGCCCGTAGCCGATTCCTCCTCAAACGGGGCCATGCGACAGGGTTACGTCAAACCCCATAGACTCACACATAGACTCACAGACTCGCATAGAGACCCACAGACTCACAAATAGACTCACACACTCACATAGAGACCCACAGACTCACAAATAGACCCACACTCACATAGAGACCAATAGACTTACACAGAGACCCATAGACTCACACATAGACCCACAGACTCGCATAGAGACCCATAGACTCACACATAGACCCACACACATAGAGACCCACAGACTCACAAATAGACCCACACTCACACATAGACCCACAGACTCGCATATAGATCCATAGACTCACACAGACCCGCACACATAGAGACCAAGAGACTCACACATAGACCCACAGACTCACAAATAGACCCACAGACTCACATAGCGACCCACAGACTCACAAATAGACCCACACACATAGAGACCAATAGACTTACACAGAGACCCATAGACTCACACATAGACCCACAGACTCGCATATAGATCCATAGACTCTCACATAGACCCACACACATAGAGACCAATAGACTTACACAGAGACCCATAGACTCACACATAGACCCACAGACTCGCATAGAGATCCATAGACTCACACATAGACCCACACACTCACATAGAGACCCACAGACTCACATAGAGACCCACAGACTCACAAATAGACCCACAGACTCACATAGAGACCCACAGACTCACAAATAGACCCACAGACTCACATAGAGACCCACAGACTCACACATAGACCCATAGACTCACACATAGACCCATAGACTCACACATAGACCCACAGACTCGCATAGAGACCCATAGACTCACACATAGACCCACACACTCACATAGAGACCCACAGACTCACAAATAGACCCACAGACTCACATAGAGACCCATAGACTCACACAGACCCACAGACTCGCATAGAGACCCATAGACTCACACATAGACCCACATACTCACATAGAGACCCATAGACTCACACATAGACCCACACACTCACATAGAGACCCACAGACTCACAAATAGACCCACAGACTCACATAGAGACCAATAGACTCACACAGAGACCCATAGACTCACACATAGACCCATAGAATCACATAGAGATACATCAACTCATACAGAGACCCATAGACTCACACATAGACCTTTAGACTCGCACATAGACCCATATCCTCGCATAGAGACCCATACACTCACACATAGACCCATAGACTCACACATAGACCCATAGACTCGCATAGAGATCCATAAACTCATACAGAAACCCATCGACTCGCATAGACTGAGTTGTGACGAAACCAGTTTCTCAAGTGCAGCGAGTTGATGGTCTCGGCCTGGTCAGCAGTGACCGCACAGGAAAATAAAAAAACAATCCTTACACATTTCACTTAACCTGGCTACGTACGGTGCGAAATAAGTTCAACGTACATAATTCCAGATTTTATAATTGCAGCAAAAACCTCTCAGACGAACTAAAGAGCTGGGCTGAGCCGGGTCACTGCTTGCATTGTCGACCACGATGCACAGACAGGTTGCCATAGGCTACTGCGGCACTACGCGTTAGGCCACAGAGGGGCAGTGCAGCAACACCCTTAGTTGTACTCGACTCACGTGTTCCCACGGTTATTCTCCACCACGAACCCACCCAGCGGACCGGCATGGTGAAGTACGGTAAAATTAACCGGCGCGGCGCGGAGAGGTCCTCATCATCCAGCAGCGGATTGACAAAACGTGGAGGTGCGCGGGTGTTGAAGCCTGTTGACGTTGAGCCCGTGACCCCCGTGACCCCCGTGACCCCCCTGACCCCGCAGAGCGAGAGGCGATCGCGGAAAAGCTGCGATCGCGCGAGGACGTACTGCTGGCGCACCTGCAGAGCGTACGCGTCCACTCCACAGACACGCCGGGACAGGTGAGCGGAGGAGCGCCGGCCACACCGCCACTCCCGTCGCTCGGTGTGACTCAGTGTAACACACCGTCACTCGGTGTGACACCGTCACTCGGTGTGACACACCGTCGCTCAGTGACACACGATCACTCGGTGTGACACCATCACTCGGTGTGACACACCGTCACTCAGTGACACCCCGTCACTCGGTGTGACACCCCGTCACTCGGTGTGATGCACCACCACTCAAACAAATACAAAGACCCGCGGTATAGCCTTAGGAGGCTGTTTGGGAAAGTGCTCTTAGCGAGCAGCTCCTATCAAGGCCGGCACAGCACACGAGGGGGGGTGGTGGCCAGGGCCACGCCGTTGTCTCCCGAGTGGCGATGTTCACGCACCTCACCAGGTACTCATTTCAGGCTGAGTTGATCTCGGGGAAACCCAGCACCGGTTCAATTAATCGTCACCGGCGATGGTGGCCGTTAGCGGGAATCAAACTGCGGGCGCCGGGTTTCGTCGCGCAAGGAGCTCCAGCCGCTGCGCCGCCGCTCGCGGCGATGTCGACCCGTCCCTGCTACCCCGACCCCAGGTTCTGGAGGACGAGTGGATGAGCCTCCGCACCCCAACAGGAGGCGCGTCGTCACCGCCGTCCTCGTCCCCGCGTCACCGCGAGCCGCTCGTCCACCTCCCGTCGGCGCTGGCCGACTCGCCGCACGCGCCGGCGTCCGTCCCCTCGGTGCCGCTGGGCCGCGTCACGGTGGCCGAGGCCGTGCTGCTGCTGGGCCTCGAGCGCTCGGGCCCCGCGGCCCGCACGGACGCCGACGTCGCGGACCAGTTCGGCCTGGACGAGCGCTCGGTGCGGGCGCTGCGTGATCACTTCCACGCGTTCGACATGCACGTCGAGCCGGCGCCCGGCAAGAGGCTCGCGGCATCGGCGGTGCCATCGCAGCCGCCGCCGCAGCCGCAGCCGCCGCCGCCGCCGCCTGCAATGCGGCTGCAGCAACAGCGGCGCCAACAGGACCAGCAGCTGCAGCGGCTGCAAGGGCCGCAGGGGACGGCCGTGAAGCCCACCTGACCTGCGGGGGAATGCAGGGTAGAGGGAGGCTCTCGCAATGGCACTGTCGGATGACGGCGTGGAGCCGAGGTGTTGGGGGCTAAGAGCGCTGCGGTCGGGTCACTCAGCATCATCATCATCGTCATCGTCGTCGTCGTCATTATCAACATCGTCGCCAGTAGTAGCGGCAGAGCTGTCATTGTCACAAGCAGCAGCAATCACTCACATCAGCAGCAGCCTCTAAATCTTCATCATCATCAGCAACAGCACAAGAAGCATGATAAGCAGCCTTTATTATCAGCAGCAACTGCATCTGAAATCATCAGCCATGGTCGATCCACTGCTGGATGAAGGCCTCCTTGAGCATCGCTCAAAGTGCGCAACTTCGTCAGCGTGCGACGAGGGGAGGAGTGATGCCGGAGTTTCTGGCTTGTTTATTTTCAGGGAGCCTTTTCGGCAATTGATTGCTAGGGGAGGTTTTAGCGTAAATCGAATGTACAGCGCTTTGCCAACCCGCTCCTGGATGAGCTTGCCGTTTGGTCACGGTCAAACTGTGCAGCGATGTAAATAATCGAGGCCTCCCCACGCCGCGTCAGTCGTGGGAGTCGTTTGACCAAACGTCACCGCGGCGTTGGAAATCGAATGTTACCCGGCACTGGTGTCACTCGTGCCCCTGGGAATGACCCGGGGTCCGCGCGGTTTATAGCGCGGTGCGCTGATCATGGGGGCACCTCCGCTTCGCCCCGGGTGTCTTGTACAGAGCGATCCCCGCGACACCTCGCAAGCAAAGCAGGGTGGGTGGGGGAGGGGGGGAGGACCCTGTCGAGGGCTTGGATGGTCGAGCAGCTGCGCGTGCAGTGGTAGGCGCAGCGGAGGGCAGCCAACTCCCACTACTTTTCTGTGCTCGCTTCATCTTGACCAACCCCGCTCCGACCAGCGTGATGAGGTGTGGTCAGATGTGTCTCTCGCCTCGCCCCGCTCGGCGTGCGCAGGCCGGAGGCCCTCGTCCAGCAGTGGATTGACAGGCGGGCTGCGCAGGTGATCTGTGTGTGCGTGCGAGATCGCGTAATTTATAAATGGGCGGGCGGGCGTTTGTTTGAAGCCGCTGTCTTCCTCGCTGTTTAATATTAAACGTCATCGGTGCGGTGCATTGCGAGCGTCATCCGGCGAACATTCCTTCCGAGCGGCCATCGTCGAAGCTACAATCGCGGCGCCAATTGACGTTGGTACGCTTAGCGTCTGAACGCACACACCGCATCTCCGGACGGTTATCAGGAAAACTAAAATGAGTTTGCTCTGCGCACGCGAAGCCTCGACTTGAACCTAGGGCAGCGACGGAGTCTCAACCGCGCCGAGCCTCAAGAGGGGCAGAATTCCAGAAGGCGGGAGCAGAAGCCGAGCATGGGCGACCTCCGATGGAGCAAAGGTTGACTGCGGGCGGGCGGGCGGGCGGTCGGCTTTACCTTTACTGCAGCGGAGACGGCACTTCGAGAGGGCAGCACAGCAAGTAGACCGCCGTGAGGCCGCCCGTGAAACGGAGAGTTTGTTGTTATCCCCCTTGCTTCTGGGGGTTTATTCCTGGCACCCCCCCCCCCCCCCCCCGGGGTAAATCCCAACACGAAGCTGGGCAGTTGCAAAAGTCGGGCAGCACCCGTACAGTGGAAACGTCAACATAACCCTAACGTGCGTACCTTTGCTGAACCTCTTTCGTGCCGCGCGTAGCCAGCCGTGCTAATCGGAGGTGTGGATAACAATTAGCATTCATGACAATTGGTAGCCCATACTTAATAATGCATGTAACAAAAATAATGCATTTACATTGCTCCTATAACTTAGAAAAACGTCCTAAGGGCACAGGGGGTTGTGTTTATGTTATCCGAGGGGGACCCCCCCACCCCACTGCTGACAGCTCTCGGTGTGCAGCGCAAGGCGGCACAACACCAGGCCAACAGCAAGTGGCAGATGTTGCCGTTTGGTTGAACTCGAGCATTTCGTATCCGGCGTCCTCGCGTTTGAGCAACGTCATGTTCTCCTGTCACGCGGCGGTCATTGCGTTCCTGAAGGACACGGCATTGTGGGAAAAATCGCGTTATAATTTATAATGTGTGGGGGAAGGGGGGGGGCATAAAGCACGATCCGCGATAACACGTGAGATGCGTACGTAGGCCGAGCAAAGACGGAGGCGGGTGGTGGGTAGCATCTAGAAGCATCCAGCGGCATCTCGACTCGTGTGCGATGCTACGCCGAGGCAGCCGTACAAGCGCCGACTCGCCCTGCGTAGTTCTGCTCACTCGATCGCGTTATATCCCAATTTCGCGTTAGAAAAAAAAAACGTGTTCCCTACTACATTCATCGCATTGTAGCCAATTGGCGTTATGAAGACAACGCGCGTTATAGGAGAAGGGGCTGTACGCGTCGCACACGCACTGTTGTTTTCTTAAGTCTGCGTGCGCAAGCCACGTCGGCAACAGCACTGGCGCGTCAGTGGATGATATTGCGTGTGCATGTGGCGTGTCTGTGTGTGTGTGAATGGACGCTTGCGTCTTGTTTGAGACATTAACGATGACCTCCCTACAGTCCATCCCGGGTTTGAGGCGCTCACGGGTCCTTGAGGGATCTGAACATAGCCCCGTCAGTGAGCTACTCCGGCAGGCGAGGCTGCGTTGGCCGAGTCATGTAGCCCGCATGCCCAAGCAGCTTCTCTTTGGCTGGATCGAGGGGGCTAAACGGGTGCGGCAGGGGCTGGAGAAGAGATGGGCTGATGCAGCACAGGAGGATGTGGAGCTGGGTGGACTTGCTAATGGCTGGTACCAGCGCTGTCAAGATCGGCCTCTGTGCAGGAGGCTCGTATCGAATGCTACTGGGCAGTTGGAGGCAGTCGCCCTCCGACAACGGCAGAGGGCAGAAGAGCAATGCTCACAACGAGCGGAGTGCCGGGTGGCTAAAACGCAGCTTAGTGGCACAGTGCGGAGCACAGGTGGTGGAAATTACCCTTGCTTGGTAAGTCGTAACATCATAAGGATATATCGAGACAGACAGAGACTCGCAGAAACCCACAAAGATACAGGATATTAAAAACACGCCACGGTAGTGCGATTGTAGCCGTGAAAACCAAACTATGGAACATTACAAACGCACAGAGAGCCAGAGATACATCGATACTCAGAGTTGCGTAGAGACGCATATAGCCACAGATATCCATAATGACACAGAGACCCATAGAAATGCATTAGAAACAAACCAGGGTAGCGCGCGGCTGTGGCCATGCAACCCAAACTGGACCGTGTCGTCAAGAAGCTGTGGTTTGTCTGCGCGCTCCTTCGACGGAGGAGGAGGAGGAGGAACAAGACACGAACTCTCTCTCCCGAGGCCCTTTCGTGGTGGCCAGCGCACCTCCACATTGGCATCGAGCTCCTGAACCACGCTGCTGCTGCTGCTGGTGCCACTGCCATCGTGTGTGAGAGCAGCATGCGGTCTGCTGGGTCTCGGCGGCCACCTCGCCAACTTGCACGCGCGCATTAACCCCCAGATGAACCGATAAATCACATCTCGCATTTTAAAGTAGGTACATTTTAAAACAAAACTCGACACGCGTCAAAAAGTGAGTGACCCCCAACGTGGGAGGAAATGTTTTAATAGGTGATGTTTCGGGCAATGGCCTTTCTATATAGCACACGAACAAAATATTTTAAAAAACATTAAAAGTGAATGTCAAATAATATTGATTCATAATTATTTTATGCTGGGTTAGATCGTGTAGTAGTAGGTATAATGTAAATGGTTTTACTATAGCCGTCCACCGATCAACAGAGGCAATCAAATTAAGTCATCACATGGGCTAATATGCAAATTTATTTGGTTTATGGGCAAAATCCATTAGATTACTCAAATCCCAGTGTGACGATGTTCTGTGTTGTGTCCTCGGGGTGTCGATGCTCAGTGTTTCTATCCCTATCATGAGCTAGCGAGTAGATTGACTAATATGGTACATGAGGATGTGGGGCCGAGTGGACTTGCTCGCGACTGGTACCAGAAGTGTTAAAGATCGGCCTCTGGAGGAGGCTCGTGAAGGACGCTGCTGCTACTGGGCAGTCGGAGGCAGTCGCCTTCCGGCAACAACGGAGGGCAGAGGAGCGACGCTCACAACAGTGAGTTGAACGCCGGGCCTCTAAAGCGCTGGCAACAGTGGAGAACACAGCTGGTGCATCTGCCATTCATCTCAGTCGACCCGTGGCACCTGTCTGCCTCGTGACCTCGTGCCAGCGGGCCTTCGACAACTTCACGTGGCCTCAAACTGCACCTAGCCTGGCACAAGCGCCCTGGTGACGTCACCGTCACTTGGTGGTGAACGGCGATTGTTGCTGTAATGCCTTTTGGGTTAGATCGCGTAAATATAAATGTGTTGTTAAATCCGCCACCAGCCGACACAGCCAGCTCGTAAGGGTTGTCACGTAAACAAAACGTGCCAATTCGTTAATAGTACAGCACACCGGTGTGTTGGAGAGCAAATCCACAACAACATTTATAATCTGAGTCCGACGTTTCGCCAGTAATTACAACCGACATCATCAGGCTGCATTATAGACGATATTGGTCGCGAAAGCCAACGTCTTAAACTGGGTTGTTGCTGTCTATAATAATAGGTTTTAACCTTTCTGGCAATAAAACAGGTGTTAAGGTGTAAAAAAAAAAACACCAAACTGAAACTTTTTGCAAGGAATCATGTCTCCATTAACCACATACTTGTGGTGAACATGCAAACAAAAAACATGCTCTGGTAGTATATGATGCATTGTCTTTGAAAATGATTGGTCCACACCAGAGACGGCTTTCTTTAGAGCCGAGTCTCAAACAGCGTTAGACCAGAGGACGCCAAAAGGCGACCAGGGCAAGGACAATGCCACTATCAGGACATTGAGAGCTCGGGGTTGAGCAGCTACATCATGGGACCTCCCTTGCCAGTATCTATTCTTAGATTTTGATACTGGCTGCATCCCTGTAAACAGGGGTCCCAAATCCCCGGGCCGCGGACGGGTACCGGTCCGTGGCCTGTTAGGAACCGGACCGCACAGCAGCAGCAGGAGGTAAGAGCGGTGAGTCCGCGCGTGGCCCGCCCCCATTGTTTTATTATTTACCACTTCCATCCGCGCCTCTTTCCCGCACTGCGCACTCGTCTCAGTGTTGGTAAGCCCACAAGCTCTAACCCCTAGTAGCCACAATAAGTAAAAAACAAACGTCGCTGGAGAGCTTCTTTGAAAAGGGGGAAAGACCCAATGATGAACCCACCCCCCGGTCCGTGAAAAAATTGTCTTCCACGAAACAGTTTTGGATTAGCTATAATTGTTGTTGAACAGGGTTATACTGATAACTTTAATCTAAATTGTCTTATGGTTGTTATTGTTTGGCTTGCATCCCACTGGGATTTTTGCACAAAGCATTGGTATACGGTGCTTTTTCTGGAAGACTTTGCTGTTTTTTCCTGGATTTTTCTGTCGCGCGTAGTCACTTTAAGATGTTCCTTGTTCATGTTTTTTGGTTGTTGCGGTTGCACCCACGTCAAGAGCTCACAGGGCTATACCTTTTGATTTAAAGCTTTCGTGACTGCAGTAATTCATATTCTTAGTTCTTTTGGTAAAGTCACGTTGAAGGGAAACAACAAAATAATAAAATATATATAAAACAATCAAAAAAGCCATCTGGCTACCATGAGAGATTCGTTCATGAGGCTATCCACATATACAAGCACAGAGACAATTTCAACCGAGAAGATGGATTCTATCTTAGCAATCATTGGAAAGATTTGATAAACCATTTCAGGTCTTAATTGATTGTTCACGCTTACAGTGGCTTTCAGACAGCATACATTAAAAAAACCAATTTCGTCTCCCCCCTCTTTTCAGAATATAGATGGACTAGTCCTAAATAAACTGCCAAATCGCTGCGCGTGGCGCTAACGTTTTTTTTAAATAAATAAATACACCGTTTAAAAATAAATTTATGCAAACCAACAGACCTGAAGACGACCGTTTGTGTTATGGTCGAAACGTCGTGAGAATTTTTATTGTTTTATATATATTTTATTATTTTGTTGTTTCCCTTCAACGTGACTTTACCGAAAGAACTAAGAATATGAATATAGGGCTATACCTAATAAATGAACTGAACTGGTGCAAAAAAGGTTGGGGTGGCCACTAGGGGTCACGATCTGCACGCGAGATGGGGGAAGCGGGGAGCCGGTCAACGGAGCTGATTGCCCGAGAATCTCACTTAAATATTCACAGAGGGCCCTGCAAGAGCCGCCCAATCAGCGCTCGCCGCCGCCACAGATCCAGCCCAGGATGTGCGCACTGATTGGAGGCACACAAATAAATAATAAACATCAGACATCAAGGAGTTGGCAGCATCACCAACCACCACCATCATCAGCCACGATTCTCCGCCACTATCTCCATCACCACCACTATCACCACCGCCACTACCACCACTGCCACTATATCTCCATCACCACCACTATCTCCACCAACAACGCCACTACCACCGCTGCCACTATCTCTCCATCACCACCACTATCTCCAGCACCACTGTCACCACCACCAACGCCACTACCACCACTGCCACTATCTCTTCATCACCACCACTATCTCCATCATCACCACTATCTCCACCACCAACGCCGCTATCTTCACCACCGCCGCTGCCTCCATCACTAACCACCGTTATCTCCACCACTGTCACCACCATCTCCGCAGCACCACTACGCGTGTGGGCTTGCAAACCCCGTGTCACCGTTCGTCTGGCAAGATCAGTGTCAACACGATCATCGCTCTTGCACGTCGAGGGCTCCGCACCAACACAGACGGAGAAGAGACGCAAGGAGGCTGTGTGTGTGTGAGGGTAGTGGAGGCTGTGTGTCTGTGTGTGTGTTTGTTGTGTGTGTGTTTGTTGTGTGTGTGTTTGTTGTGTGAATGGCGATGAGACTGCTGCTGGACTGCGCCACTCCACGAGTCACCTGGACAAGTCCGGTGAGTCACGGATACCGCCTCAGTCCCTTTGTTTTTACACCGTGTTTCATTTGTAGATTAACCCGTGTTTAATTTGTAGATTGAACCGTGTTTAATTTGTAGATTAAACTGTTTAATTTATAGTTTAAACCGTGTTTCATTTGTAGATTAAACCGTGTTTAATTTGTAGATTAAACCCTGTTTCATTTGTAGATTAAACCGCGTTCAATTTGTAGACTAAACCGCGTTTAATTTGTAGCCTAAACCGTGTTTAATTTGTAGCCTAAACCGTGTTTAATTTGTAGATTAAGCTGCGTCTAATTTGTAGACTAAACCGTGTTTAATTTGTAGATTAAACTGCCTCTAATTTGTAGACTGAACCATGTTTAATTTGTAGATTAAACCGTGTCTAATTTGTAGATTAAACCGCGTTTAATTTGTAGACTAAACCGTGTCTAATATGGAGACTAAAGCGTGCCTAATTTGTAGACTGAACCGCGTCTAATTTGTAGACCTGGTACTCACCGTGGTACCCACCGTGGTACTCACTATTTTTCTCACCGTGGTACTCACCGTGATACTCATCGTGGCATACAGCACTGCCCGTTCTGGGATTGCCGAATGCGATGAGCGACGAACGTACAGCGTGGCTACTTGTATTTATTATCTAATATACCACAGCTGTAAACCCACACGGTTCACTACCCCGTGTTCCTGTACAGGGAGATTGAGTTTCCAGGTCCATACGGCGCACAGCCGCGTCAATACGGGCAAAAACAGATTCGTGTCTATTTGTGTTTCTCCCTTGCGATGGGACTTTGTAGGATGAACGTTGATATTTTAGAAGGGCACAGAGTGACCAATCAGGTCTGAATTGGTACGAAATAAGGTCGGCACTGATACGCGGTTGATAGGAATGTTAATAAGCAAAGGTGCAGCCTCCAATTGCCTACCCACGCCATTACTGGTGGATGAGGCCGCCACTCCAGAGAGCCCCTCTGGATTGTTTTTGGCATATTCCTCCACGCTGGCGAAGGCGTCTCGGACGAGGTGAGAGTTGCCCACACTTTATCCCACCGCATGCGTCCTGCCGATCTACCGTTGCTGGTGGTGGTGGTGGTGTCCTCTTTTATTACTGCTGGGTGGACAAAGGCTGGAGGAGGAGGTGGAGGTTGACTCGGCCCGTAATTATTTCCCGGCAGTTAACAGAAAACAATGAGTTCCACTCTGCGGTAGTGAACGGCAGTGTATTCCTTTGAGTGAGATGAGAGGGGAGAGGTAGGAGAGTGTGTGGAGGGGAGTGGAGTGAGATGAGAGGGGAGAGGTAGGAGAGTGCGTGGGGGGGAGTGGAGTGAGATGAGAGGTAGGAGAGTGCGTGGAGGGTAGTAGAGTGAGATGAGAGGGAGAGGTAGGAGAGTGCGTGGAGGGTAGTAGAGTGAGATGAGAGGGGAGAGGTAGGAGAGTGCGTGGGGGGGAGTGGAGTGAGATGAGAGGTAGGAGAGTGCGTGGAGGGGAGTAGAGTGAGATGAGAGGGAGAGGTAGGAGAGTGAGTGGAGGTGAGTGGAGTGAGATGAGAAGGGAGAGGAAGGAGAGAGCGTGGAGGGGAGTGGAGTGAGATGAGAGGGAGAGGCAGGAGAGTGCGCTTCGACGTCACGGTGTCAGGAGTCATATTTCCAGTTTAGTTTGAAGGCGGTGGTGGGGGGCGCATAATACCCCCCCCCCCCCCACCCTATGGACGGCGATGCCAGGAGGAGACGAGTCTTGAGAAGTGACAGTGACGTCACAGACAGCGACCGCCACCAGAGGTCCCCCGTATAGCCTTAACAGACTGTCGGGGCAAGTGCTGTTAGCGAGTAGCAGCACCTATGAAGGCCGGCGCGGCACACAAGGGGATGGGTGGCCAACACCACGCCCGGCCGCCTTTGTCTCCCCAGTGTCGATGTTTACACACCGCACTAGGTGCTCACTTGAGGCTGAGTCGACCTAGGGAGAGGCCCAGAACCGGTTCAGATAATCGTCACCTGTGATGTTGGTGGCCGTGAGCGGGACCCGCCGGGTTCGTAGCGCAGCGCGCTAACCGCTGCGCCACCGCTCCCCGCACAGCAGTCCCCACCGCCAGCACCGTGACTGCATCAGCCACAAGCAGCCCCCACCGTCACGGTGACCAGAATATCGATACATTTGATGTAATCCCGGGAAACGAATATTCCTTGAAATATATATATTTTTTTTTTAAATGATAATACTGCAATACGTTGTCATCATCATTGTTCCCGTCGCGGTTTATCAGTCGATGCGTATCCACTGCTGGATGAGTGTCTCCCCGCGCCATTCATTGTACGTCGTCTATCCGCTGCTGGACGAAAGCCATCGCACGCCGTTAACATCGTCCGTTGTCTCTCCACTGCTAGATGAAGATCATAAACACCGCAGTTATTAACGTTTGCCGTCTCCCACAAAATACTCGCAGGGGCGGGCGGCGGGCGGGCGGGCGGGGATGTTCGGTCCGTTTGATGGCCGTGCGTAAACGGCATGGCACGTTTATTGGACCGCCGAGCGTCGCGGGCTTGCCGCAGCCGGTGAGACTCCTACGGTAAACACGCGCCCGCACGCACGCGCGCACGCACGCACTGAACCGCCGTCGCCGCAAAGATTGGAAGCGCGGGCATTATTGTTACGCCGCCACAGGCGACCGCCGAAGCGGATGAAATGCGGCTCTGCACGGCAACGGCTCTGGACTGGAAATGTCAACTGACGCCCATAGCTACCCTGCGCTGGCCATCGCCCGTTCCACCGACAATTTCACCGCCGGTTCTACCACCAGTTCCACCGCCGGTTCTACCACCAGTTCCACCGCCGGTTCGACCGCCAGTTCCACTTACAGTCCCACCACTGGTTCTACCGCCAATTTCACCGTAGGTTCCACCGCCAGTCCCACCACCCCGCTCAGAGACGTTCGCCGCCGTTCTTTAAAAAAAGTTCAGATTATGTTTTTTCCTCCTCTTCCTCCAAACCTCCTGCATCAATTCTCACTTCAAGATTCCTGCCGGTGGAAGTCTCAGCCCTCCTCTGTCGTGTAGAGTTCGCTTCAATGTGGGTAGATTTCTACGGTGTTTTGTTTAAATCGGTTTATTCTCCCCCCCCCCCCTTCTCCGCACGATTCGATTAGCTCGGTTAGCTACGTAGGGCGCGGAAAGAAAACTCCCGGTCGGTCGAGTCCCCCAATGCCCCGTCTCACAGTCTGATCTCACGTACCACCGCCCCCTCCACCCCCCAACGGTGTTATTTGTTTAAGGGCTGTGTTCAGTTTTATCTACTCAGGGTTTACATGTTTTTTTTTAGGGCTACGTTCAGTTTTATAAGTTCGGGGTTCGCGTAAGGTCGGCTTCATTTAGCGACGCGGCGTGTGCGAGAGTCGGTCGTTCGTCCACCATGGCCTCCGTCTACCCCATGGGGGTGTTGGTTGTTGGTGGGGGGATTACTTTTTCTTTCCGTGACGGTTGTCTGCTTCGGGTCGTTTTCACCAATTCCACGAACGAGTGTTTTGGCTTAACGTGGTAAGGAAAACAATCCCTGAGAGAGAACCCCCCCCTCCCCCACGCTTTGGAGGGGCGCGGTAATTGGCATTGTGTACCTTTGGGCCTGCACTTGGCAACCAATGAGATCTCTGTATACAATAAACAAAAGACCAAAGAGCTCCCGTATAGACCCTACAGACTTTTGGGGCAAGTGCCGTTAACGAGTAGCAGCCTACGAAGGCCGCTATGGCACACGAGGGGGGTGAGTCGCCGGCACCACGCCCGGCCGCCTTTGTCTCCCCAGTGGCGATGTATTACACGCCACACCAGGTACTCATTTGAGGCTGAGCCGACCTCGGGGAGATCTAGGACCGGTTCATTTATCCGCCACTCATATTGGTCGTGAACGTATATCGAACTCAGGTAAGCCGGGTTAATAGTGCAGCTCGCGAACCTCTGCGCTATCACTCCTCACACATACACACAAGTACATATATATGCACAACCTACGTCTATATCCGCAGTTGCATTCTTACTTTCCTCGCTTTATGGCGGGTATCAGAGAACATTCATCATTGTATTTCTTTCGGGGGGTTATGTCGTGTTAAACAAATTGTGTGCCGGCCAATTAATAAAAGTGGTGCGTGAATCAAACGAAGCCAAGTGTGTGACTGCTCTCAGTAGCAGCAGCAGATGCAGCATCGCCGCTGTTGTTGTTGTTGGAGAGCAATCCCTCAACATTTCCATGGGTAATGACTCATCGCTGGATCATCAGCATCCGGCCATCATCAGGTTGTTAGCACGAGCTTCGGTAACTCGAGCGACGGCGCTCGCTGATGGGAGGGCAGACCCCGGTAAAGGGCAGCACATCCGTCCCATTATCCGCAAAATTGTCCGCGGGATAAGAGCCAACTGGAAGTCGTCTGACTATATGATTCAATTCAGCGGAGACTCTCCGCTGAATTTCTGCTGCACACCTCCAAGCCGCGGACCGCGAAAACTCCGCACCGCCCCCGGACTTGCTCGTAGGCGGTGCGGTTCTCCAACCTCAGGGCAACGCAGCTGCAATCCCGTGACCACAAATCCCGTGAGCACGCAATCTCTGGTAGTTGTTCTCTTCATAGGTCCACACGAAAGAGGTCGACTCATTCCGGTCCCCCCCTGCCCCCCGCGTTGTGCGCTTTTCTGTGAGGATGAACGGGTGGGGCGCTGGATGTGGCGGCAACTTCATCGTTACCAACAGGAGCCCCCCACGGCTGCGAGGCCTTGAGCCGCTCTGTTTACTTTGAGGAGGGCCGCGCTTGGCAGGTTCATGCGATGGATGGGGTCAGCAACTTGGAGGTTGAGAATAGGAGGAAAGGTCGTGATGGGTGGGACACGTGTGCGGGGTGGAGGATGGAGGAGGAGGGCACCCAGAGGCTGGCAACCAAGGGGAAGAGAAGCCCTAAAGCTACGTGATGGTGGTGGTGATGGTGGTGGTGATGATGGTGATAGTGGTGATGG